GGGGGGGGGGGGGGGGGGGGGGGGGGGGGGGGGGGTGGGGGATTGGTCTGGGAGTAAAGGATGGTAGTCATGGGGGAATGGGAGGAGGAAGGGAGGAGGAGGAAGGGAGGAGATGGAAGGGGTTGACATTAGGTTTATTCTTTTTCTTCAATTTTTTCCAAAAAATAATTTTTTAAAATGATTTAACTGAAAATTGGATGAAATGTTAAGAATTTAAATGATTGGGGGAAAATTGGCAACAACAAAAAAAGTTCATATCCTTAATTTTCTAAAAAAAATGATAGGGGGTCAATTGAAAGTTAGGTACAAGTTCAGGGGGCAAATCACTAGTATACCCTAAAAGTTAAAGAGTAAAAAGAAAATATATTAGAGTGGTGCTAAATGAACCCTAAAATGAACTAAGTACACCGTATCATCTAAGTACATCCTAATATTTTAATCAAAATATAAAATTAACTAAGTATACCATATTTAACTACCAAAAATATCCCTAGTACACCTTAATACACTCTAACACACAACCCTAATACTCTGTAACTCTTCGACATCACACATATCTGTAATTAATTTCCCAATAAACACCCACGTTCATGTTATAATTCTGAATATCGTAATAAATATTTCTTCAAGGGATCTCTACTATGACCTACCATTTTTAAGAACACAAAATTATGGATTTTTAAATCCCAGCAATATCTTGATGTGTCTAAAGTAGATAAACAAATTCTATGTAAAACCATTATAAAAGAACAACTGGTAGTTCCATGGCACTCACTGCTAGTCCGAGAAACAAAAACTAGAATATATTGATCCATGGCACTCACTGCTAGAATATATTACTGCAGTGCTATTACTGGTAGTTCCATGGCACTCACTGCTATTCCTATCTGCAGTAAATCAGATTGATTCCTTTGGCATTTATTGATCCATCCACTACTTTTGAAGGTTGGCTATAAAAAATAAAAACAAAAACTCTTCATGTTTAATGACCCTATCCATGTCAACTACTAACAGCCAAGGGCAAAATTCATTTATATGATTCTTTGATGCATCATCAGCCTAACATGGACTAACACCTTCCCGTACTTCAGTAAGGTTGCCTTGCTTATTCTTCTGGTAGCACTTCCTCTAAGTTGATGAGGGGTTGCCCTGGCTTCACCTTCTAGCAACTCACCAAAAAAAACAAAAAGAAAAACATACAGTTTCAGCATTCATGGGGCAAAGCAGCAGTATCAAACTCAAAGGACCCTTTTGGGACACCATCTCTTTCATCACCAGTCAGCTTGACAGAGGGAATTTGATTAGAAAATCTTTATAGCTCGTTAGGCGGCACTTGAAACGACACAACCCTGCGCATCTCGGTTTGCTTAAACAGACTGACAAATCCTTTTGCTTTGCCTAAATAAGCAACTTCAATGCCAACATCTTGTTTAAAATCTTGCAGGACTTCCACATATTCAAATTTGTTAGGTACATGCTTTTCAGGCTCACAACTCCATCCAATATCCCAGTTGTGGTTTCTCCCTTCCTAGGATATACCAGAAAAAAGTTTCTGCCCCTGCCTCTTCTGAAGTGCATCTGATGAGAAAACATAAGATGATTTGTAATTTCTTCACTGTGACCAAGTGTGTACTTACCACAAGCAACTGGCAACTCCTTGTTGCACCAAGCAATCTCACCTTGGTCATTTGGATTTGGCTCCAGCCAGGTGATCTTCAGCTTAAATCCAGAGGTGTACACTTTTTTGACAAGAGCATAGAATCTTGGCATGCCATCTTCTGGAGCAAAAAAAGCCCATGTCTGATTAGCTCTAAAAATGTTTTTCAGCATATCTTCGTCAAGCCCAAACTTGTTGAATTCAGGATCAGGAATGTTTGAATTTGGTCCAGAAGCAGCATCAGCTCTGGACTTAGTTTCATTGTTGCATGGCATTACTGCTTTCTTTACCCCCAACTCAAACTCACCAGTTTGCAATTTTTGCTGCGAAACCTTTTTTCTCGAGAGGCACTCGCTTTTTGTTTCGGTTCTTTCTTGTATCGATCCACGGCAGCTGCAGCAGCAGAATCAATTGGCCTATCCCTTGTAAATACCCCATCAGTCACAGCAGCATTCTGCTGCACCTTTTTAGTAGCACTGGACATATGACTGTCCCTCAACCTTTTGGGAGGACACACAGAATCACCTTCATGATATAGATTTTCATTCTAACAAATACTCTGCCTTTTTCTTGAAGACCTCCTAAGGCGATAGCCTCCATTGAGTTCAACCTGTCCAGAATCAGCTCTAGCTTTATTTCCAGTTTTGCAACTTTCTCCAGATTCTAGACTAGACTTGGACATTTGAAAACCAACCTTCCCTACTCCAACCTCATGCTGAATATCATTCTTTTCAGGGTTAGACTTAGACCCCCTGCTGCCATCAGCAGCAGTTCTCGCCTTTGACATCGGACTCAAGGCTGCATTTCCATTAAATCTTGTGACAGACGGGTTTTCAGTTCCATCATTACTTTGTGAGGCTACTTCTGATCTACCCTGGCTTGGAGAGTCTTTATGATCCGCAAATTTGTACCCGGAAGATTCTGGTTGTACACCTTCAATACACAAGTCATGAGCAACAAAGGTACTTTGGCATTTGTGACAAAGTAACAATTGATTTTCATAGACTTTGTAGATTGAGCATGATACCATACAAGAAGGGCAACATGACGTGAATGTGCGTGGTTCTTTTTCATCTTTCTTAAAGTTAGTGTTAGAACGACCCTGCATTTTGCTTGAAGACGTCCACGGGTGATGGCCTCCATTCAGTTGAGAAAGACCAACTTCAATCATTAAATAGAGAACTTCACACTTTGCAAGTAATCGAGGAATTTTCTTAAGAGCTTTACACCTTTCAACCAATTCAGGAATCTTCTCTCTTCAGTGCACCTGAAAATTCACCACCTTTTTTCTTTCGTTTCGAAAGTCGCATTGCTCTGAGTGCCTCCTCTATGTTGCATTCCATGGTTGATTTAGACTTAAAAATCACCGAAATTATCTCATATACAAGATGCACACTAAGATAAATCCTGCACAAAAGAAGGAAATCCTGAAATCTTCACCCTCCTGCACAAATGCGAACCACACAATTTAAGTCACATAAGCCCAGCAGCTGTGTAGCCTAACTATCATCAAACAACAATTTCAAATACCATTCAGCAAAGTATCAAAATCATCTGAAGGAAAGATGTCTTGTAAAAACAATGAGAAACAACAATCTGGGTCTTCCCAGCCAAAAGGCTCAGGACATCGCCTTTGGAGTGAAGTACTGTCCGAAACCACAGAAGCTGAAACCCGAGCGATCAATCTCTTGCAGCCCAGAATTCAAATCCATGTTTAAAGAATGAGAAACAATGAACATAGGCTATATGTATATGCATATTGCATATGCATTATGCACTTTTACATATATATACAAACAATGTAGATATCATGAATGGTCTGTGCATGAAACGAAAATTTCAGATCCATCTAGTCCCAACCACAATAATGCCAAAGACCAAATTACTTCTCGATGTTAATATGAAATCAAAAAGATCCTCCTCTCTTTTCCTCAATTTCTTAATCCAACCATAAACTCATTATTTACTTTATCTCAAGTTGGTCCACTAAATACTCCCCAAGTCCTTAGCATTCCTACATTCCTTAATTATTTGACCATCTTAACAAATTCTAAAATAAAAATAAAGTAAATGCAGGATTTCATCAAAGCAGCCAAACAGCCAAAACACAAAAAAAAAAGAAAAAAGAAAAAAAAAAGACGAACATGGAAGGAGTTGGAGTGAACTAAATTACCAAGAAACCATACAGAAATTCCAAAACACTACTTGTTGGGAGTTGTGATGACAAAAGAGAGTAAAGGAGAAGAAGAAGAATTACTTACTTGTTGGGAGTTGTGATGACGTTTGCAACTTTACATGCAGAAGCATTGAAGAGTGGGAGTGAGTGAGTACACTAATATGGAAGGGCACCGTATGCCATGCCTTGATTCGGGCCATTTGCCCCAAAACCCCAATCCGGAGCTTACCATCCCTTTGGATGATGGAAAATAACTCGGAATTTAAGTAAAAGTAGAGAATTTAAGAGGAGAATTTGACAATTATCTTGTTTGGCAATTTAAGCACGGAATTTATTAAATGACGCACGGAAAAAATTATGGAAATTGGGGCATCAAATTTCCTAGTTTAATTTCTACCAAAATAGGGGTCATTTCACAATTTATGTTGTATCATTTACCAAATTCGATATACATAAATCCAAACAATGAAATCTTCAATTGCTAGAAATTTGAATTATGGAAATCTAAATTCTGTCATTTTAGAATTCTATGTAATTTTCAATTCCTCAATCCAAATTGATTGTTCTTTCCATTTTCCTTACTAAATCAATTCCATCGTCATAAATAATGAGAGATAAATTTTGGACCAAAAAAATTAATAATGAGAGATAAATAAAAATAACTTACGTATATGTCTCTCTCTTCAAGTGATAAATGTGACATGTCACGAAGGGGAAATAACTTACCTATCTCGATTCACCATGTCTCACTCTATGTCTCAAATGCCGGTTCATAGTGTCTCGCTCTATGTCTCATGTTCCGTTTCATTGCTTCACTATATACATCTCTCCCTATCTCTCGTATATTGAACTGCTTCTCCTCATGTGACATCTCTATGTATCTTCTCACGTGACTTCCGTGTGGAGGATTATTAGAGGAGATATATATATATATATATATAGTAATGATAAAATCGAAAGACGGGCCTTTTTTTCTTCTTCTCTCGAGTGAGAGCAGGGTGTCTCATCATCATGCGCTTTGTGTCTAGTGATGTGTCTCCTCTCTATGTTGACTTAATACAACCGTCTCATTTATGAAATTCAACATCATCGTATTAATGTGACAATTTATTCTATAGGGCTAGAGAATTTGCCTTTTATAACAGTAACATTTCTTTGTGTTTACAATACTCATCACGTGTTTTTGTGTCGAGTTAATCATGTGATAAGAATTATGGACACGATGAAATATACACTTGGGATGAGCAAGTTTATCCCGTAAGGCAGGCCCTCTTGAGAAATGGCGGGTCATATCATCATATCTACGCTCAATGTCATGGGAGGTCCCTTACACAAACGGTAGGCTAATAAGTTGACTTGTGTGTTTTCGTTACTCGCATCTTTCCAAGGCAAAACCATCCCATCTATTATTTTCCGGCGGCTTTTCTTTGTTCCCTTTAGCACTCACTTGGCCACACACAAAGAGAGAAATGAGCAAATTATATAACTTAGAGACCCTTGCAGGCCTCTCCTCTGCTGGAAACAACCCTTCAACAACACCTTATTCGTGATGACGCCATTTCCGTTTAACACATCACAGACAGACAGCCACCTCCACCTGCGGCTGACACCACGGCGTGCTCGGGAACTACTGAAAAGGGAGAACACGGAAGAAGAAAAGCAGAACAAGGTTTGATCACAAAACGCAGAGCGTATAGAGGAAAAACGCTCTCGGCGAAAGGCCCAACTGGCAAATACTTTCACATAAGACAAACGATCTTGAGGCCAATGCGGGAATTGTGTAAAATATCAAGGGTAGTTTTGTCTGTTTAAGATATATTTGTGCTCCAAACTTCAAAGATGCGTTTAAAACTTTGCGCCAAAAACAAACCTGGGTTGGACTAAAACGACACCGTGTTTCTTCTTCATGACAATTAAGAATGAACTGGTAAAAAGATTGAATCTTGAGAATTATACAAGTGAATGAACTTCTGTCTTTTACCAAATCCCAAGCAATATTACATGCAAAAATCCTTTCATGATTCTGTCTACAGGCTAATATTTACGGCTTGGAGTAAATTCGAAAATTTTCGAAAATCATGTTCACATAACATTCCATATGGGATGAAATGGAAATTTATTGGTACAACAACAAAAGTGGATAGCTACTTGCACAAAAACATGAGATATGAGACAAAGTTTCTGCTTATGTATTTCTTGCCAACACATCCCTGATCAGTTGCTTTGGTGCTGCATTTGGGGAACAAGGAAGGAGAAGAAAATGATAAGATAATGGTTGAAAGTGTGGTTTAAAATAGAAAACGATTTTACAAAGAAAATTACTAGAATTGTTAAAATCTTTCGTATCGAACTTACCAGGTACACCGGAAAAATTTTCAATCTGTACAAATGCTTGATTGAGGAGCATTTCTGTCCCAAAGACCACAGCTGCTCCAGACTCTTGTGCTTCTTGCAAGAGTCTTGTCCACTTAGGTGTATAAATGGCATCAAACACCAAAGAGTAGTGCTTCAAAGCTTTCTGTCACAAGAAAGAAGGAAAGATATACCTATTGAATTATGATATAATCCTAATCATGACAGAAGGAAATACAACACTAATTAATTTGAATGTATGGATAAAAGTTCCAGGAAAACATAATATTTTTAACAAATTGACGACTTCACGCGTAACGGGAGGCAAACCTTGGATACAGGTGTTTGATCAGTTCTTGGTTTCATTCCAACGGATGTGGTATTTGCAAGAACCATCCCATCCTCTGGATGGAAATTTTCCAATTCAGCAAGAGTAATAGCTTCTCCTCCAACTTTATTAGCAAGTGCCTTGGCTTTGTCTGGCAGTCAGAAGAAACAATGGATTTAAATACAACGATAGTTACTCTCAATTTCATCAAACCAATAGTTACTTTCCATTTCATTAAACAGAAAGCTTTCTTTTCACATTCTTAGTTTCTTCTCATTAGTTAACCTTATAACATGTTCAAAATTTTATCATTCTTTTAAGTTATGAGAATGTGAAATGAAACATTTCCTTTATTTTCTATTTCCCAGCATTATAAGCATGTAATTTAATAAGGATTAAGAGCAAGAAACTTGGCTGTCAGAGTAAAAGCACAAGACTAAAGATTCTCACCATATGTGCGATTGGCAACTACAACTCTTGCTCCCTTTTCTTTTCCGCCATATGCAAGTGCTTTTCCAGCACCACCA